GTAGGAGGTGGTGTCTGGGCTGTTCGGGGTGGGCTTCCCAGGGCCCATCCATCTTCCCCACAAAGACCCACTGGGTTTGTGGCAGTATGGGCGCGCCTGGTGCTGTGGGTTTGAGCTGGGCTGCTGCCCAAGTCTACCCTGTGGTCCCAGCCATTGCTGCTTATGAGAAACTCTGCCCTTAGGCTGCCACGTCAGCTGGCTGTTCTCCTCAGCCCCATGTGTTCCAGGGGAGCCCACCAACCAGAAAGCTGCCTCCAGGGAGGCCTTTTCTCAGCCTGCACAGCTTTCTGAGTGTGTGGAGTCAGGGGGCAGGGTCAGCGGTGAGGCTTCTGGACAAAGAGGCCTCAGCTGTGTTGGAGTGCTCGGTGTGTGGAAGAGATGGGATAAACTGACAGCAGAAAGCAAACTGTTCAGTGAGTGGCTCTGACTCCTGTCCCAGGTTACAACTAAGTCTCAGCAGGGAACCCTCCCACCCCTCTGAATCAGCTTGTTAGCCACCATTCATTGGTATTCATATGCTCTTTATCTGAATGCCTTCTGAAACTCCTTTCAAATGAGATGACCACAGTGGTCTACTCTGCAGGTTGCTGTTACAGTGACAAGCACAGCATGGTCATTGTGGGCTAACAGGAAATGAGAGGTTTGGGGAAATCAGTATTCTTCCAGCGGGTAGAAAAATTGATAACTTTTACCTGAACAGTCACTTACGTGTCAGTGAGAAGAGCTTTGCATTTAATCCTCACTCCTCTCCTGGGAGGAGACAGTGTTTTGTTCCATTTCACAGATGAGGTCCAGAGAAAAGGCAGGAAGGGAACTGAAGCTTGTGGAGATTTCAGGAAGGATAAGAGTAGGCAGCAGGGCTGGCAAGTCTGGACACCCCACTATGCCCCAGAGGGGATCTTAAAGTGAGTGTGGACTGCCTGACCAGGGAAACTGAAGCCAGAGAGGACAGCAGCATGTCACTGTCTCCCACCAGATCAAAACCTAACCTAGGAGGTAAAGGGGTCCAGGATACACAGGTAACAGTGACTTGAAAGCTGAGGCATGGGATAAGGATCAGGTGGCTGGACCTGTGGGCTCACCTGTGGCAAGGCCCTGCTGACCTTGCTTAGGCAGATAGGGTGGAACTGGCTCCCTTCCCCCACCTGTCCCCTCTAGGAGCTCAGCATCTTGAAGTAGAAGCAGATGTTTTAATGCAGAGCAGCCGCTGTGATTACTGCTTGCCTGTTGTGGGCCCAGCAGCTGCACCACGGGGCAAGGGCTACAGAGGTTGTCTTTCTTGGTGGGAAGAGATGTGGCTCAGTGGGAATGTCAAGGCCATCCAGGGAACCTCTGTGGGCCCCTCTGGTCTCACTCAGCTGGGGATGGTACACCTGGTGGGGCCCTCTGTGGGCAGGAGGGGATGACTCCTGCCACCATCTGTTGGCTGAGCTCCTCTGCCCAGTACCTCTGCAGCAATCTGGAGTCAGCTAGGGGAGCTCCACCCGAGGGGCAGGCGCAGGGCAGCTGGCTGGGGGGAGCTGAGTGCCCACAATCTGCAGGGTATAAGCAAACTCTGGGCCAGATGCCAACTTATCTGATAGAGGAGACGCATCAGGCCCTCATGGATAAGGGACCCACCTGGGGGAATGAAGAGTGAGCTGCTGTTCCACAGCTTCCAGAGACACTGAGCCTGTGGGCCACCCGAGAATCAGGGTCTTCATCCCCCTTCTTCCAACTGGATGTCCTGTTGTGGCCCCACCCACTCTGCTACTGGCCTCTTCCCTGACTCTGTCCCAGTGTCCCCCTGCTTCCTGCCTGGCTGCAAGCACCACGCCCTTGTCCTGCTTCTCACTGTTTCCCTCCTGAGTCACAGATTCTAGAAGGACAAAGGGACCACCCTGAGTTCAGGGATGGAGGTTTCCATGTCCTTGTTTAGTTCATCTGTCAAGGGGGGTGTGGGGTCTTTGCAGTGACTCCTGCTGGATACAGAGATTCTCCTAACTCAGAATTTCAGAGGCCTTAGGAAAAGGAAATAGGCTTGAGGTGAGCTCAGAAGTGGTCCCTTAGCTGGATGAGGCAGAGAGCAAGTTTCCTGGTCCTGGCCTAGCTTGCTTATTTGCTGTCCCCTGTGCTTTTCCTACCAGCTCTAGGAAAAGCAGGTACAAGCTAGGAAAAGCAAATGCAAAGTAAGTTCGAGTGCACATCTCATCATTGGGCAGGGTCACCAGAGGCCCACACCACCTACAGAAGAATGATCGAAGAGTTAGACACCTTGTTTATTCCCAGTGGCCAGGTAGAGAGAATCTGTGGCTCCTGGTTTTTCCTCTGCTCCAGGATGCACCCCTTTCCTGCTCTGTGGGAGCAAGTAGAAAGTCTAGCCAGGGGACCACTGTACCCTCCTAGCCTGGGTGAATGCTGAGGTCCTGGGGACACAAGCATCGGTGGTTGAGCGGCACCACCAGCCTTTTCAGGCTCTTTCCATGTCCCCATTCAGCCTGTGGAGAGTGAGGGATCCTGTTTCTCTTCCATATACAGTCCAGTAGGGAGGGATATTTCTATCTGACCACTGCCCACACCTGATGCTAGGCCTGGCGCCCCTAGGGCCCAGGGCCGAAGCAGCCTTGGACAGTTGGAAGCCTGGTGATTGCAAACACCTGGTAGCATTTGTGAGGAAAGATCAGACCCTTCCCCTCAGGGCAACTGTTGGGTTGGGGACATACCCAGACCCACTCCTATGAAGACCACAGCTGTGCCTCAGGTTCCCCACTAAAATGTGGGTCTGAGGATGGGAAACTGAGGCTGGCAGGGGCCTTGGTCTTGGCAAGGTCTGCCACCCCATCTCAATGCTACATTCCTGCCTGCTTGTTGGACACAGTGGAGACTGGGGTCAGAGTCTGCATTGACAGGTACTTACAACAGACTGGAGGTATGACCTGAGCAGTAGAGCGCCTGCTTTGCAAGTGTGAAGCCCTGAGTTCAAACCCCAGTCCTATCAAAGAAAAGAAAGAAAGAAGTATTAGCAATAAGACATTTAGGACAAGTCTAGGAAGGATTGCATTCTGGGCAAGTATAACTGTACCACTTTATCCTGTGCCTAAGTTTCGTCATTTGTTAGGGTTGAGAATAGAACCTCCCTCTCAGGGTTACTGTGAAGATTAAAGTACTCTGAATATAATAGGCATAGAGCATCATCTAGCACACACCGGATACTCATCACAGCTTTGCCGTTTTTGTTGCTGATTTTGTCATGTAGGGTGTTAGCCTCTTCATCCGCCGAAGAGTCTTGACTAGTCCCAAGGGACGCTGGTGGTAGGGACAGAGTCCTCACATTTGGCCAACACACAGTCCTCGACACCTATCCTGTAGCAGAGTTGCTCAGAGGGACAGACCTGCCACCGTGCTCTGGAGAATTGGGATACATACTGTGAATGGAGTATCTGCCCAGAAAAGATAGCAGCATGACCACAGGCCTGGAGGTGGCAAAAGGCAATGCCTGGGCAGATGCAGGTGTGACTGGCAATAATGGCGCAGGAGCAGAGGGAACAGTGGGCAAAAGTTGGGCAGGAGGGTGGGACCCAGCTGAGGACCTGGAGCTCAGGATGAGGAGCAACATAGGACTCTGCCTCTACTTCCTCAGTCCCCTGACCAGGGAGTGGGGTGGCCCTCCTGATCTTCACACTTTCCTGTGTAGATTCCTTGGGAAATGCAGATTTCTGGGCTACATCCCTTAAGGTCTTAACTCAAGATGTGACATGGAAGTCTATCTGTTTTTTAGGTGCTGGGAATTGAACCCAACATCTCACACATGCTAGGCAAGCACTGTACTACTTGAGCCATGTCCCAGCTCTTTGGTTTTCATTTGTGTTTGAGATAGGGTCTCAATAACTTTGCCAGGGCCAGCCTTGAACTCAAGAACTTCCTCCTGCCTCCAGAATAGCTGGAATTACGGGTGTACACCAGCAGACCTGGCTGGAGTCTTATTTTAACCCCTTCCCAGGGCATGGGCCTGGGTCTGAGCCACGTTTTGAGATGGGCGGGGTGGACTGGGCATCATGGTCTTCGCATCGCCTTTGCCATTCTAAATCCTGGCTGCATGATCATGGACCAAGACTTTATATTCTAAGCCTTAACGTCCCTGTCTGTAAAGTGAGAGCAGAAAGATAGTCTACTTATGGGGCTGCTGTGACAAACACAGGAGAGACTGGCAGTAAATCTCAGAACCACTTGAATAGAAATATGGAGAGTCTGGGTGGGGATGTAATTCAAGTGCTAGCGTGCCTGCCAAGCAAGTGCGAGGCCCTGAGTTCAAACCCCAGTACCACCAAAAAGGAAAAAAAAAAAAGAATAATGGGGCAGGAGTTCTTCCAGGATAGAGAAGAAGTTTGAGTCAATGCAAGTGTGTGTGTGTGAGAGAGAGAATGTATGTGAGTATATGAGAGGCAATCAGGTAGACTCTGTGTCTCCCAGTTTCTATTCTCTATCTGCTTAGGGCAGATCTGGTTCAGCAAGCAGAGGACTGGGCCTTGGGCCATATCCAGGAGGCAGCAATGTGACATTATGCCCCAGCCTAGGTCCCCTAGCAACTAAGGCTCAGGGAGAAGAGGAACTATTGCCTTGCTGGAGCATGCAGGGTGTCTTCTGGCCAGTTCTGCCGAAAAACCATGTTGGTAAGCCCCAGCTGCGTGGGGCAACAAGCCTGTGTATATGAAAATGACAGGGAATACAAGGTTAGTCTTAAGTCTGGCCAAATTCCCTGAAGTCAACCAGGGCAGGGGGAGCCACAGTGGATAGTGGAGGTAAAACCTGCAGAGAGTGCCATGGGGGTAGGTTTCCTTGACCACTGTGGTCCTGCCAGCCATACCTCTGGTAGCACAATTGCCCACCAGGCCCAATGGCTCCATCTCACTGTGCCACTGATGTGGAAGGTGAGATCTGCCTCCGGGATTACCAGCAGCTGAGCTACTAGTTGCCTGCCAAGCCCCGTGGGCTTGCCCTTACCACTGTGCCCTCTATTCCAGGTGCTGGGGAGTCAGGAAAGAGCACCATTGTCAAGCAGATGAAGTAAGTGCTGTGCACAGAAGCGGTCTCCAAACTTTGTTTCTTCTCTTCTTCCTCTGGACCTGTTCTGCATCCAGTACAGGCTCAGCTAGTCTTCCCCAGGCCTAGACTTCCTCATAGCCAGTCTTGTATCCGTAAGTCCCATTGGACCAGCAGCAGTTCCTCCCTCTCTGAAAAAGGTCCCTACAGGCCCCAGCAGCCCAGACAGCCATGTGAGCTCCTTGTACCCTCTAATTCTTGACCGCTGGTTGTCAGGATCATCCATGAGGATGGCTACTCAGAGGAAGAATGCCGGCAGTACCGGGCGGTTGTCTACAGCAACACCATCCAGTCCATCATGGCCATTGTCAAGGCCATGGGCAACCTGCAGATTGACTTTGCTGATCCTCTCCGTGCGGTATGTGCAAATCCCCCTGCCCAAACCTCCACCCATCTCCCAAAAGTCTTCAGGGCAAGTCTTGTCCTGGGGAACCAGAGAGCACCCCAACCTGGCCTCCACCCCAGAGAATTTCCTGCCTCTGATAGGCAGGGTGGGGGGTACGCTCCTTCAGCTGGCTCACTGTCTACCACCACTGTGCCCAGGATGATGCCAGGCAGCTGTTTGCACTGTCTTGTGCTGCCGAGGAGCAGGGCATGCTCCCTGAGGACCTATCCGGTGTCATCCGAAGGCTCTGGGCTGACCATGGTGTGCAGGCCTGCTTTGGCCGCTCAAGGGAGTACCAGCTCAACGATTCAGCCGCCTAGTGAGTATTCCAGGGAGCTGGGAGGTCTAGACCCTAGGCTGGACTGGAGGGTCTGAGCACCCTGAGCTCAGTACTTGCTGGCCTCTGGTTGCAGCTGATGACTGTCCACCACGGCTTTGGTGATGTGTGGGATAGGATGATATTGAAAGGCCAGGAGGGATAACAGCCACAGTGGCTTCTACAGTACCTCTTCCAGGCCACTTGAGGCTTATCTGTCTTTGCATAATCATTCTAAAGAATATTTGCTGCCAACTGCTCTGTTCCAAGCCCTGTGCAAGGCTTCAGGGACAGTGAAGAGTAGAACAGACAAGTCCACAAGCAGAGACAGCTGAGAGTGTCAGTGTCATTGGGGGAAAGTCCAGAGGAAGGACTACTTCAGCTGAGCTCTGAACAGGAGGTAGCCAGGGGAAGACTTAGGAAAGGGTTCCAGGCCAGGGGTATGGCATATGCAAACTCCAGGGCCATGCTTCAGGACACAGTAGGTCAGGTTGGGTGGCGAGGAACCCACAAAGGGGAAAGAAGCTGTCTTTGAGGCTATAGGTGTATGCACAGGCTGGAACCTGGGCCTCACCTCTGACCTTTCCTGGCCTGAGGCTGAATCCAGGATTCAGTTGGGGAATCCTAGGGAATCCAGGAGTCACAGAGGCATGACAGGCCTGGACCCACTGGGCCTAGTCCACAATTCTGAACTATTTCTCTCCCAAGACTAGTGCAGGGTGCTGAGCACCCAATGGAGGACAGAACATACAGGCTGTAGGAGAGGAGACATCCATGGGTGTTGGACAGTGGTCCCAAATAGGCTGCTGTCTGATCTTCCCCTCCCTCCCTCTGTTTTTGCCACTTCCCTGGCTCCCACTGCCTGGCCAGTTCAGAGTCCACTCCACAAGGGCTGGACCTCACAAGAGTGGGCCGAAGGAGGGTCTTGCCTGGTCAAGAGCCCTACCAGTCATGTGAATAGCCTCCTCCTGCCCTCTTTGTGTGGCCTGACTTGTCCATGTCACTCCCCAACCCCAAGAACTGTGGGATCATAGCCAAATGCTGTAGAGGCCTCCAGGCCTCAGTACTGCCCCACCCTGAGATAACGGGCTCAGCCACCAGCAGAGCTTGTGGGTCATCTGTTCAGGGAGGAGTGAGCCCTGTCAACCATTGCCACTCCCAATACTCAAGGATGGTGGAGATAGAGCCATCTCCAGGCCACTTTCCACTTCTCTGTTATCCTGTTTCTTCATTCCCCAGACATTAAAGCACCCACTCACTGTGTGCCTCGTGCTATTTCAGCAATGACCACAGACCCTACTCTCCCAGAATGTTTTATACCTTGGCAAGACGACCCAGGAATGGGGTGTGGACTGGAACACCACAGAGAGCAGAGATTCCCTAACCTTATTCACAGAGGTCTTCCAAGACTGCCGTGGGCAGGAGGTTCCTAGGATGAACCCACCTGTTGAGCAGAAGGGGGAGGCTGGTGACCCACCATGAGGCCTCCGGGCTGGGGACTCTGTCAGTACAGGGCGGGCATGATATGCAAGTCACAGCCGTGCGTCATGGTCCCCCATGGCCCTTCCTGTTTTTTTGTTCTGTCCCTAAGTCTCTGAGATCATTTCCCTCTGGCCTGGTTTGCCCCAACTACTGACCCCAGCAGCCCTGCCCCAAGAGCTAGACACCAGTAGAGGGCAACCATGTCATGGCCTAGACCCAACCTCCAGAGCACATCAAGGATGTTGAGGCAGGCAGCAGGGCTGGTCCCTGGGCCCTGCTGGAGTCACATTGATACTAATTAAAGAAGCTGGTAATGAAGAGTCCCTAGGACCTCCCGCCAAGCAGGTGTTGATGCCCTTTCCCTTAGGAGCACAAATTTTATTGGGTGCTGGGCAAAAGCCCACTGGACCTGGCAGGCCCCAACATGTCCAGCCCCGTGTCGAGGGACCACATTAGGCTAGCCTAGCCACTCTGCAGCGGGTATCATAATTGTACCCATTAGCGTCCTGAACCTTTCCCTGAAAAACTAATTTGCCCCCTCCCGTTCCCTTTACCTATAACTCCAACACTCTGGATCTTGTACAAGGCAGGCCTACCTCAGACTCTGGGTGATGGGGCCACAGGGCCATACCTTCTTCCAGTCCAGTTCCATGGGTGGGAGACAAGGGGCTCTGAGTCCAAGTTTCTTGAGCTCAGCAGTGAATGTGAAACAGGCAAGGGTTAAAGAAACAAGGGCTTTGCCTGAGAAATTGGGGGTGAGAGGAAAGGGACCTTTTCCTGCTAGCCCTAGATCCAGGTTATGAGGCCCCTTGCAGCCCCCCTGACCCTTCACCCCCCACCCACAGCTATCTGAATGACCTGGAGCGCATTGCACAGAGTGACTACATCCCCACACAGCAGGATGTGCTGCGGACCCGCGTGAAGACCACGGGTATCGTGGAAACACACTTCACCTTCAAGGACCTACACTTTAAGTGAGCAGGCGTGTGGGCAGGGCGGAGGAAGGTGGCGCCTAACAGCCTTTGGGATGGTGGGGTGGGGCAACACCCCAGCCCTGCTGTGAGATTTCTCAAGGTTATGTTTTGTGAAAGTATCTCCCTGTTACCCAGTATGTTAGCAGTCACCTCCTACAAGCTGCTCACAGTTTTTGCTGATCCTGTCCCATGTGGCTACAACCTGTCCTGATGACTAGGCTCCCACCTTCCATCCAGACAAGCCTTGGTCCAGAACCCAGGGGTGAGGGTGGATGATTTCATGAAGACAGCTGCTCCTCTCTGGGCAGACCTCTGTCCTCATCCTGACAACCTGTGAGATGAGGCAGGGAGCCTCTCCTAGGGCTCCCTTTCCTGAAACTAAGATGACCCTATGTCTGCAGGATGTTTGATGTGGGTGGTCAGCGGTCTGAGCGGAAGAAATGGATCCACTGCTTCGAGGGTGTCACAGCCATCATCTTCTGTGTAGCCTTGAGCGCCTATGACTTGGTCCTGGCCGAGGATGAGGAGATGGTAAGAGGCTGAGAGAAAAGTGGAGGTGGGAGTAGGGGTGGGGGGCACATAGTGACTGTTGTCAGCCTCGATGTCTTGCCCCCAGAACCGGATGCATGAGAGCATGAAGCTGTTTGACAGCATCTGCAACAACAAGTGGTTCACAGACACGTCCATCATCCTCTTCCTCAACAAGAAGGACCTGTTTGAAGAGAAGATCACACATAGCTCGCTGACCATCTGCTTCCCTGAGTACACAGGTGAGGGGCTGTGGGGACCATCTCTGGGGAGAGGCTGTACCTGTTACAAGAGGAACCAGGAGGGACCATATGGCCTAAGGGCGCCCCCCTCTGGACAAAAGGAAAACCATGGGACACTCATACAAAATTGATGCTTCACTCAGGTGTGTATGCACACTGTGTCTGGACACGTGGGGCCTTCTTCCCACACCTGGAACAGTACCCTTGAACATGTTCACATTGGTGACATCCTTCACACACTAGGTGCCCCTTCACACACACAGGCATGCATGTGCATGTAGTCATGCTGTGTACATGTTATGCTTGTCACATGCACAGAACTCTGCTATACATTGCAGAAAGGAGCCTGCCTGCCACACACAGCGTAAGTCTTCACCTTTGTGTCTCCATCAGGGGCCTCCAAGTATGAAGAGGCAGCCAGCTACATCCAGAGCAAGTTCGAGGACCTGAATAAGCGTAAAGACACCAAGGAGATCTATACACACTTCACGTGTGCCACCGACACCAAGAACGTTCAGTTTGTGTTTGATGCTGTCACCGATGTCATCATTAAGAACAACCTGAAGGACTGCGGCCTCTTCTGAGGGGCAGCAGGCCTGGCAGGATGGTGAGCCAGAGTGGGCGAGGCAGGGAACTGGGGAAGAGCAAAGTAGGGCCCTTGAGCCCAGAGAGGGAACAGACTTGAGGACTGAGGGGAGACCAGCTGGTGGTGGTAAACCTGGAGAGGGAGGGAAGGGAGCACAGTATGGTGATTAAGGTCAGTGGAGTGGGGTTGCATGGGGAGGCCTGGCCCAGTGTCCAGACAGAAGGGTCTGGCTTTTCCCTGGACAGAACTAGAGTCCAGTATTACTTGGAGAAAATTGCCTTCTCATCTTGAATCATGCTCTTGGCCTAACCTGATAAAAGCTGGCTGTGGGAGAAGACCCATCCACCTGCTGCTCACTGGGACCATGTGACTAGCTCTGCACTTATCCTTAGCTCTCTGCTCCTCAGATCTGTTGGAGGGTCCCTAGCCTAGGCTGGCCCAAATGACCCTGGTGGAGGTGCAATGACTTTACCATTGCCACTGACTCCCCCTCCCCCAATAACCCAGCAACAGAAGTTAGCTCCTGTGTCCCTGGTAATGAATAGGTGGGAAAGGAGAGTCATCATCTAGGGAGGTGGAGGAAGAGGCACATCCTGACTACCTCCTAACCCATGCTGTAACTGTCTCTCCCACCTCCAGGGCCACCGCCAACTCTGCTCCCCCTGCTCCTGAGGAAGATGGGGGAAAGAAGACCATGCTCCCTGCCTGTACCCCTGGCCGCTTGTCCCTCTTTTCTCTCTGTTCTCACTCCCTTGTCCCCTCCCTCAGCTCCAGACTTGGGGGAGGGTTTGCTACAGGCCTTCCTGTCTGAAGCCCGCCCTTGTGTGAGGTGCTGGGAGTGGCCTTGGTACCCGCCTTCCTGGGCATCTGTTCTGGTTTTCTGACCATTGTCTTGTTCTGTGGGGGGTGGGAGGGACCAGCAGAGTCCCCAAGGCCTGTGTCTGGAGGGACATCCACTTCTGCATCCTGGACCCTTTGCCCAACACCAGCCCTGACCCAGCCCAAGTCCAAATGTTTACAGGGAGCCTCCTGCTCACCCTACCCCTTGCCGCTCGGAGGCCCCAAAGGAAAAAAGCACAAGAAGCGTGAGACGCCACCATGCCTGGAGATCACAGTCCACTTGCTCATTCTCGTAGCTTTTTAAAAAAAAAAAAAGAAAAAGAAAAGTTAAGGAAAAAAAAAAACAAAAAAAACCAGAAAACTGCAAACCTAGAAAACTTTTTAGAGAAAACCTATTTAAAACTGTCAGATCCTGACCAGCACCACCCAAATCCCCTTCCAGTGATTCCGTGCCTTGAGTGTGTCTGCGTGTTTACACCCATCCTTCTTCTGGCTGCCTTCTGTGCAGGAGGCCCCCTGTCCTGCCCTCCACGGAATTGGGTTCCAAGGGCTGTTCCAGACAACTGCCAATGTCACTGAGGGCCCCGCCCTGTGGCCCTGGGCCCAGGCTCCATTAACCTAAATGTAGCTCCTTAGCGCTAACCTAGGAACCGCTGCTGCCTGCTGAGGGGCCAGGCCCCTCATGCCCTCGCCCCAGGCCCGGGTCCTTCAAGCGTTGAACACTTCCTTGCTTTTTTCACGTTTTATGGAATTGTTCACATGGTTTGAAATAATAAAATGTAGAAAGAAAAAAAAAAAAAAACTGCTGGATATTTTTCTCTCCCTAGGGGTAGAGACCAAGGTTGAAACGTGCCAGGGTGATGGTGGTCTGGACTTCAGCCTCCCACCTGGGGCAGGGCTCTGAGTGCTCAACTTTCCAGGCTACTGCCTGGACTGGTCAGCTTACATGCTGGAGCCTGAGAACAGGTCCCCACTCTCCCAGCTCTCAGCAGCTTTGGGTCTGGGACAGTCTTTAAGCCTGCAGAGCCACTGGACAAGCTTTTATGGACCTCTTTCCCCTAAGGAGTTCCTGCACACTGGGACTAGAAGTGGTGTCCAGCCAGCCTCTACTGCAAGAGATGGTAAGGCCCAGACAGTGTGAGGGATTGAGGTCACCTAGTCAGGTGGGCTGTAGCCCCTTGACTAAACAGGCCCAGAAGATTCCCCTCCAAGCCTGATGGTCGCCTTGGGCTCCTTAGTGGAGCCTCTCATTGGCTGCACTGTGATTAGGGCTTGTTTGTGGAGGGCTCCACTGAAGCAGCAGCCTTGCCTAGTGCCTGTGAGGAGGGCGCTGAATGCAAAGGACGATGCCTTTAACAGCAGAGGCAGCCTTACGCAGAGCCTGCCACGATCAGCAGGGAGATGGGCCTCGACTGGGTGGGGCTCTTGAGGCCCGCGCTTCTACCTCCCGCCGCCAGGGGGCGCGGCAGCCCATGCTCGGCTCTGTCGGGCTGGTCACGGAGGCTGACGTCACCGGGTCCCGCGGAGGCCGCGGGGCACAAAAGCAGCTTTGTGAAGTAGCGGCGGCTCGGAGCTCGCGGCGGGACAAAGCGGCCTGGGCAGAGGGCGGGCTGGGGTCGGCGCCGCGAAGGCGGGGAGGGAGGAGTTGGGCCGAGGACCTGGGACTCCGCCTCCACACACCTGTCAGTGCCCTGCCGCCACCGGGCCCTTGGTGCTGGCAGGAGATGAGAGGCTGTGACCGCCGGATCGGAAGGAGATCAGCGTTCCCACCTCCTACTTCAGGCCTCATCCTCGCCCCAGATCCTTGGGCCATTCCGGCTACCCCTGCCTCAGAGGGCCGACTGACAATAGGATCCTGCGCCCGTCACAAGATCCCTGTCTTCCTTCAGAGGCTCAGGCCTGAACCCGGCTGAGCCTTGGGTGGGCAGGCAGGTTGGAACTGTTCCAGTGCCTCTATGCCCGCCCTTCAGGAAGCAGGCACCGGAGATGGTTCCTTCCTTCTGTCCTGAGGGGAACGCTACACAGAGAACCATTGAGCTGTTGGCACTGTCTGCCTGATGCACCCGGTGCCTCCCTCCTTGGGTGGGCCATCAAGGGCTCTGGCTAGGATCCCCCTTGTACCCAGTTTGGCAGTGGGTCTGGGTGGGGTCTTGGCAAGCAGGACTTCCCTGGGTGCAGATGGCTAGGCCCCCACCTGCCCTTGGCCCTTCTATCCCAGCTCTGATTTCCGGGGCATAAGGCTCCATTGTCCCAGCACTGGCGGGGGCGGCTACTCAATTGGCCTTGTCTTTGGCCTGTTGGGAAATTCCCAGCCATGGGAGGGGAGGGGGGGCATCAGACAAGAGGGTCCGTCCAGGTGACTTGCAACCCAAGGAGAGGGACTCCATGAAGTGGGCATCCCCCACTGCCTGGAGTTGTTCCTGGCTGGGCCACAGCCATTCCTCATCTCTTGGAAGCAGCTGAGTCCCCAGCCTATGGGGACTGCCACGAGGCTGACCCACCTCCATGAGGGCCTGGCCCACTCAAAGTAGTTGCTCTGGCAACTATTTTGCTTTGGCAAAATACCAAGCAGCCTTGGTATTTTTAACCTATTGCAGGGCAGGGGAACAGCTGGGAAGAGAGAAAGAGACAAGCTCTAAGTGTTAGAGGCCTAAAGAGGGGAGAGTATCAGAAGACCCTATGGGAAGGAGGTAGGCAGACAGCCTCTCTCCCCTCAGTTCCATCAGCAGCTGAGTGGAGGTCTAGATGCCAGGTGCAGAATGAAGATGGGGTCCTACTTAGGGTTAGAGCTGGGGCCTCTGAGGCTTCAAAGGCTGCCAAGGCCTGAAGGAACGCCCATGATGTTCCAGGGCAGCCCTATGACTTCTGAGGTCCAAAAAACTAACTGTCCCCTGCCTCCTGCTGAGTTCCTCAGAATCATTCCACACACACCCTCAGACCAAGAGTATAGTAAGCCAGCCATAGGCTACAGCACACCAGCCCTGACTCCAGCTGCCTTGGTGAGCGAATAACCAGTCAGGTCTGAGTGGCCCTTTGAGCTAGAGAGGGACAAGTATCTCTTGGCTGATTATGGGTCTGACCCCAATCCCTGTATCTACTGCCCTAAAGAAGATCCTAGGGCCTTCAGGCCTTCATCCCTGCCCTAGGAATTTGCTTCTCCCAACCCCTTTGGACTCAGAGTAGATGTCAGCCCGAGTCATGCACCCAGGGTGATGGACTGCAGCCAGCTGGGCCATGTGTACAGTTGTGTGACAGCAAGTGTGTGTGTGCATGATTGCTCAGCCTCAGTCACACAGTGGTAGGCACCAGAGTCCAAGCAGAGTAGAAGTCAAGGCCATGGGTCACTTTTTCCTCCCTGCCTTGGTTTCTTCCCATGCTTGAGATGTAGCCCCACAGGTGATCTTGGTTGGGAGAAAAATCACAGTTTGGCATCCCTTCTCATTAACTCTGCTTTCTGATCTTGTTGGAGACAGGAGGAGTCAAGTTCTGGGGGTTGGGGCAGGGTCAAGGAGGGACCTGAATGTGCCTTCTCCATCAGTCTTCCAGCCCCATTAAGACCCAGCAGGCCCAAGAAAGTGGACTCCTAGCTACTTGAGAGGCTGAGATCAGGAGGATAGCAATTCAAGGCCAGCCCAGACAAATAGTTCAAGAGACCCAGTCTCCAAAATAACCACAGCAAAGCCCTGAGTTCAAACTCCAGTCCCACCAAAAAAAAGTGAAAAGGCTTCCTATAGACATGATCTCGCCTGCATCCCTGTGTCTGTCCTCCCCTGGGTGCAAGGGTTCCTGGTGAAGACAGACCTTGCTGTTTTCCCCACAATGGGGAACCTAGAGCCTAGCTCTGAGGCTTGAACCCGATGCTACAGAGGTCTAGGACTTCATGGAGGAAGGGTAAGAGTGTGGGATGGATAGTGAAGAAGAGGCCAGAAAATGACTCTTCAGGAGAAGGGCCTAAAGGGTGGAGGGCACAGCCCAGGCAAAGTCTTGGCAACAAAAGAATTGATGGATCCCAGAAATGGGGCAGCTGGAGCACTGGCAGGGGCAACAGGGTTGAGCTAGGGAGGGTGCTGTGAATGCCAGTCTAGGCCACAAGCTCCTATAATCTAGTCGGGGAAGGCGGAAGCAAGGTGCTAGGAGAGGACACAGGAGTGTGTGTGCACCAGAGTGACTCCAGATACACAACTTGGAGTTAAGGCGAAGAGGTCAGGCTTGGTCAGGCTTGGACTCAGTCCTGCCTCTCCCTGCTGGCTGATCCCTAGACATGCTCCAGGGTCCTCCCACACTCACCCCCACCTGTAATCCTAGCTACTCAGGAGACAGAGATCAGAAGGATCGCTGTTCAAGACCAACCCTGGCAAACAGTTCACAGTTGGAGAGACCCTATCTCGAAAAAACCTTTCATTGATGGAGTGGCTCAAGGTGTAAGCCCTGAGTTCAAATTCCAGTACTGAAGGAAAAAAAAAAAAAAAGGAAGTCAGGTTTCAAGCTGCAGGGGTTGGAGGCAGGCAGGGCTTTATCCTATCTTCAACAAGACAGAAGGACCTCTTTGATAGGGCTCCCAGGTGGGGTGAACTTGGGCACTGCTAGGGGTGGACTGGGGACTTGTGAGAAATCTGAGGAGTCTTCAAAGGAGGGAGAGAGGCTCAAGAGAAGGCCTGGGCACAGTGGTCAGAAGGTGGAGGAAATAGTTGTGCTGGGATAGGGGCGCACAAGAGACAGGAACAGAAGGCCAAGGGGGCCATCACAGGCCTGGATGACCCAGGATACCCACCATTACAGGTGGCAACAGAGGCACACCTGCAATGCCTCCACTATGTGCCAGACCTACCTGGCCCAATAGTTACAACTGCAGAGGAATGAGGAGAGTGATCTGAGAGGTTCCATCTCCAGCAAGGGACACACATCTGAGTGACAGAATCTGGACTCAGTCCTGCCTCTCCCTGCACTACCAAGAGGGCTGATCCCTAGACATGCTCCAGGGTCCCCCTACATTCACCCCCACCCCACCTAAGCATCCAGATTCCCCCACCATCAGCTCTCCAGGAAGGCTCTCTTTAGCTGAGTTAAGGAATGTAGTTTTTATGTTAATGTCTATTAATAAATATAAAGTGCCATGGGCCCTTCAGTCCACTTTTGCAGCTTTTCCTTTGCAGAGTCCCCCCCGCCCCCTGCCCCGACTCTGGAGAAGGATAGGAGAGGTTGGCCCCACCCGCAGCCCCCTCTCTTCCCCACCCCACCCTGCTGGGCAATGAAGAAAACAGGAGGGAGTGAAGAGCTGTGATGTGGCTGGAGGGGGGAGCTCCCCATCCCAGAGGGGCTGACCTCAGCTTGAGAGGAATGTGCAGGAGGCGGAGGGAGGGCAGGGGCAGGGGCGGAGCGCGTGGGGGTAGGGCCACAGCCAAAGGCCGGGTTCTTCGTGGCCCCTCCCTCAGCCCCTCCACCTCAGCTCTGACATGGCCCTCAGAAGGGAAGGGCAACAGCAAGGAGGGGAGGAGCTGATCTTTCAAAAAAGGTGGGCCAGGGGTCCCCTGGGAATGTGGAGACCAGGCTGGGAGTGGGTGGGGGCAGTGCTTTGACAGACCCTTGCCCTGGAGATCTGCTGGGATAGGTATTAGGGTGTCAGGGATACTGCTGGGCCTCAGGTGGCTTCCCACAGTTGTGCCCTACTGCCTCCCCCAACCAGGTCTAAGTCCTCAGGGCAGCATGACCTGATGCCCACGTGGCAAACGGGAAAAGACTGTAATGTGGAGCCTCCAGCCTTGATTGCTAAAGCAGGTGTGAGTGGGGCGCCTGAGATCCTACCCAGCCCAGTCTAGGCACTGACAGAACTAGCACGGCTTCCCTCAGATGGGTGTCCTACCCCAGCCACACCACCCAGAGTCCAAGCAGGGTGCAGAGGAGTTACCCCAGCTGGTGGGGAGGGGTGGCAAGGCAGGTGCTGAGACTTGGCACAACAATCCAGTTATTTCCAGAAGGAAAAGCCAAGTAATTGGCAGGCCGTGACATCACTGAGCAAGCAGCCCCAGAGCAAGATCCCAGGCAGGCCTGTGCCCACGATATGCCAGCAAAAGTTAGAGGCCCAAAACACTTGGATGTCCCCAGGGAATGGGTATAGCCAGTACGGACCCCAGCTCCGAATGTCTCTCCTGGTTTGCAGATTCTGTTGAGATCCAGGCCCAGGCTGTTTTATTCCATTTTGGGGGGGGGCTTTAGGAGCCCCATTGTGATCCATATGCTCCTGAAGTGCTACCACCATGGGTGTCTACCCTGGCCTGGCACACTGGAACCTGGGATTGAGGAGCAGAAAAGAGACCTTGTGGCAGCAAGGACAACTTGAACTATCAATCCCCAACCTTCTTTCCTGTTCAAAAAAGGAGACATCTGGAGGAGGGAGGGCAGTCAGAGGGCTCAGGTGGGCCAGAGACGGCCTTTCCCTTTGGCTTGGAATTGAGCCCCAGGTTGTTGGAAAGATGATGGGGGTCCTGGTCCTACTTCCCAGTGTGAATACAGGGCTGTGTGTGTATAACAGTGACTAGGACCTGGGACCCTGGCCTGGAGAACTGAAAGGCAGTGCGGGCAGATAGGAGACACAGCGGGAGTGAGTAGGGGCCTCTAGGCACTTGCTGATCTTGGCTGCTGGGGTGGAAAATTGTAAACAGCTGAAGAATTTTGTTTGCTTGCATGGGCCAGGGGCAGCTCGCCCAGGAGTAGGGCAAGACTGCATCTTGGAAACCCAAGAACTCAGGCAGGAGTACATCCTCCAGTCCCCCTCCTCGAGGCCCTTAATGCTTCCACTGGCCCCCATTATTCACCTGCCAGCTGGCTAGCGCTAGTCCAGGAAGCTCAAGAAGGAGAAGCAGACCCCGCAGTCACCTCCAGGGGATGTGGAGATGAGTCTCCCTCTCCCTCCATTCCTGCCTGGCTGGAAGGCACCCAGGTGATGGGCAAAAAAACCTCATACATAGCCACCCTGGCCCCTGAAGAACTGCTGGCCAGGCTTGGGAAGGGAGCAGGAGAAAGCCTTAGTGGAGACTGAAGGGTCAAAGCCCATCCTCAGGACCTGCTATGCTCATCAAGGTGGACCTGAGGACTGCACTCTGCCATTGGCAACCTTTAGCCTCTCCAAAGAGGTACACCTCAAAGTGCAAAAAAGATGTATCCACGAGGGCCAGCTTCAGGACAAGTTCCCAGTCCCTTCCCAACTGAGACACTGAGGTATGGGAGCCCTGTCCTCAGATACCTGGCTCTGGGTTTGATGGGTGCAGTTCTCTCCCAACTAGAAAAAGCCTAGAGTCAGAGAGGCTGCACAGTCAGCACCCATCCCCTGGCAGAAATGGAGGACTACCGGCCCAGCTGAGGTCTTGAATTAGCCCACACCCTGTACTGCAGAAGTGAGGCTTGCTGGACCTCCTGGGCCAGCCTCTCTCCTCCCTCTTCTCCCTCCCCTGCCTGGCTGTCATTGCCTGGCTGTCATTGCAGCCACTGTGGGCCAGGCAGCTGAAGTACTAACTGGCCCAACTGGTGAGGAAGGATTGAGGCTGGGGTCCTGAGAGCTCATCAGTTGAGTACTAATCCCCTGACCTGCAGCCCTTCCATCCAAGCTGGCTCCTGGAAACTGAGGGGACACAGCTGAGCATCCCATTATTTCTACCCCAGCAACTCAGCTGTGGAGGGACAGGTGAGGACCTGGAGTCCCTGGGGGTGCCCTCTATTTTGTATTCCCTCTGCCTGAGCACAGAGCTGGGGTGAGGAGGGTGTTTCTATTGCTTCTTCTTCCTTTGCCTTGAATGGCCACTGGGCTTCTGGGATGCCTGGGGCATCCCTTGTTTTGAGGCCCACCTGGGAAAAGGTTGTCACTACCTGCTCTACCCTTGTGACCATTCCTCTCTGACCAGCCACCATCTCCAGCCGGTTGGTCCCAGCTGCCTGCTTGGTTACTGGATGGATCTGCTCTGCAGCCCTGAGAATTTTATGGCCTGTGGGGCATGTAGGGCGGTGGCTGGTCTGGTGGAGGTGGGGGCGGTTCCTTTAAGGAGACTTCAGAGGGTGCCCCCAAGGCACCCAGGGCAAGAGGGGCTAGGGTGGGGAAGCACCTCTGTGGAGTTCTTGGTGGAGTGTAGAAAAGCAGCCTTGTCAGCTTCAGACTGCTAGAGCCTGAGAAGAGGCAGCAGCAAGTGTCAGCAGATGGAAAGCGGGAGGGAGGTGGCTGTCCTGGCCTGTGAGGAATCCAAGACCTGGGGAGCTGGGCAGTAGGGTGTGGGTGGAAGGGTCTGAGACCTGCCCCAGCAGCTTCTTCCTTTCCTTAACCCCACTCTGGGATATTGCCCCACCCCAAGGCTCCTGTGCCCAACACCTACGCAGCCAGATCCTGTGAAGGAGGGTGGGCACAGCAGCCACAATCTGGCCCCAGGATTCCAGGGAAGCTCTCTTGTTCAGTTGAGGGGCTCAAAGATGAAACTTTCAGAGTCAGAAAAAGTGAAAGAGGAGGCTCAGGAACAACAATGGGAGACTCTGAAAGGAAAAGACAGTTCTACCAGGATCCTGGGGTGGGAGTAAGAAGGGGGCCCACTCTGTCCCCCAGTCCTCTTTGATCTGAAACCTGACCTCACAGAATCTCTGCACAGCGAACTCCCTCCTCCTGGGGTGCAGAGAGGGAGACTTCAGGTGCAAAGCTGGGTTTGCTGGATCTGGCATGGGAGCAACGTATAGTTCCCAGTCAGAAGCCTCCCGGGCAGCACTTCTCCCACTGAGAAATGGGTTTCACTGGTACTTCAGAGACAAAGGAAGTGATCAATGCCACAGTTGTATTTGTTTACTTGCTTCCCCACTGAGACATGCACACGATTATTTGTGCATACACACACTTGCACATGCACAGCTATGTGGCCCTTATAGCAAACATGCACATCACACTGGTACATACTGAATAGATGTGCACAGGGCCACACGTGTGCACATACCCATTTTGCAAATTGAACCTATAGCTGCACATGCATCGTGCAACATACCACATTTGCTCATAGACGTGAGCAAACATATGTGCACACAGTCACACACACATACTATACACCTGTGCACATTCACAAAGGGACCCTCAGAACATATTCAGAATCTCAGGTACCCACTACCTTGGCTCCAGCCCCTAAAGTGCTTCTGTGTTTCTCTGTGGGGTTGCATACAGCCAGCTCAAGAGGCTTTATCCCTGCCATTCGCACTCCTGTGATCGGCTTGTTTTGCTCATTGCACTTGGCGTCCTCTGAAATGACCGCACAATCTGACTCCTTGTTGGCACTCTGCCCCATAATGCATGGGGGCCTTGTCTGTGTCTCCTAGTATCCTCATCCAAGTTGCAGGCTGGCATGAAGTGGGTGCACAGTGTTTATGAATTAATGTCTGTGAGTGTGAGTGAAGGAGGGGAGGTTACTGGGGAGGGTGACGTGGTGGGGCGGGTGCCTGCCAATGCTGGGTGACCCTGAGGGTGTGCCCCGCGTGGGTGTGTCTGTGATTGTGGCCAGGCGGGGCACCCTCTGAGGGGAGGACTCAGGAGGGTTCGGAAGTGGAATGTGACCCCCCAGCCTCTTTCCCTAGGGGCTGTAATCTGATCCCTGGGGACTCCCCCCTAGCCTCCCTCCCTTGCCCTGCCGACTCCTTCTCTTCCAGATCCCAGGGCAGAGTCCAGGGCAGCTCAAGGCTCCTCCGCACACGCCTGCTGAACCCTGAGCGCCCTGAGCTGCCAGCATGGGGCGGGCCGAGGCCGCCGCCATGATCCGGGGCCTGGCCCTGCTCTGGGCAGTGGGGCTGGGGGGTGCCACCCCCAGCCCCCCTCGCCTTCGGCTCTCCTTTCAAGGTAGGTGCACCTGGCAGGCGGGAGGTCTCAGCTTGGGGTGGGCAGGAAAGGGAATCAGTGAGGATGGGAGCTCTCTGGGTTCACTGTTGCCCCATGTATATGCCTATCACCAGATCCTTGTGGGGTTGGTGGCATTCCCAGGTCATCTCCAGTTAACTCTGTCCTGGCCTCAGTCCCTAACCACTCTGCCTACAGTCTCCTTATGCTTTCCCAGGAAGACCACTCCTGTCTCCATAGCAACAGATCTTGTCTCTGTGTCATCCCCTCCTTAAAGAGTCAATACCCCTTCAGTGGAGCAATAGAGAAGTCAAGGTTTGGGGGGCCAACAGAGCCCCTTCTCACCTTCTCACGCCCTCTTCACAGAGGAGTGGTTTCTAGGCAGAGGCATTGGGTCGCCAGTTCTGCTGAGCTCAGGTTGGTGGCATAGTGACAGGGAAAGAAACCTTAACCTAACTTTTTAGAGTTAGGGTTCTGGCTGTCCCTACAAGCACAGCCTCCCCTAGCATCCTGGAGTCCACAGGCCTGGCCTCCCAGTGTGCCTGCCTAGAGACACTACTTGTCCAAACACGCTTTCCTCAACCTGCTTTCCTCTTCCCGGGGGCTGCACCACTCACCCTGCAGCTCTGCACATGCACCTGGGTGGGCCTGTCTTCATGCATGTAAACTCACATGCATGTGGTCACATGTGCAACCTTGTTCTATAGAGAGACAACCAGGTAGGGCCTTGGGAGGCTTCTGGCATGGCAGATAGGTCCTCAGTGATGTCCCCCTGCAGAACTCCAGGCCTGGCATGGTCTCCGGACCTTCAGACTGGAACGGACCTGCTGCTATGAAGCCCTGTTGGTGGATGAGGAGCGTGGACGCCTGTTTGTAGGTGCTGAGAACCATGTGGCCTCACTAAGCCTGGATAACATCAGCAAGCGGCCCAAGAAGGTATCAGGGACCCCTAACTTCAGTGCTGCCCAGGGAAGGAACTCTGGGAGGCTACTCAGGCTTCCTAGAGAGATCCAAAGGGATGGACTCCCCAAATGGAGAGACCCCCAGGATAGAGACCATCCCAAGACCCTGACCTGTGTTCCCCTCTCCCTCAACCTCCCCATAGATGGCCTGGCCAGCCCCTGTGGAATGGCGAGAGGAGTGCAATTGGGCAGGGAAGGACATTGGCGTGAGTGCTGGCTATTACCCTAAGGGAGGTGGGGGAAGGAAGGTTGGGCTCACCCCAGAGACAGAGCAGAACTGAGACAGAAGCCTGCCCATTCTGGCTGGAGTGAGGGCAAGGAGGTCAAAGTGGCTGAGGTCTGTAGGTGGTGAGTCAGGGTGGAGGCTCATGTGATTCTTCTTGGGTGCCTCTGAATCATGGAGGACTATGTAGGTCTATACTTTTCCATGTATCCACCCTGTGAGGGGTGGGTTGGTTTGGTCACCAAGGGCATTCAGGTCCCTATAGCCCATGTTAGTACTTGCATGGGCTACTGCAGAAGAGAAGAAAGGGTGGGGATGCCACTGGTGAGCTGGGACTCCTTCAGACTACTTCCTAGAGGTCATTGCCCCTGACCCTGACTGCCTACTAGACTGAGTGTATGAACTTCGTGAAGTTGCTGCATGCCTATAACCACACCCACTTGCTGGCCTGTGGCACAGGGGCCTTCCATCCAACCTGTGCATTTGTGGAGGTGGGCCACCGGCTGGAGGTAAGGCTGGGTCTGGGTGTGGGGGTGCTGGGAGCATGAAGAAGGGCCTGTGGTAACAACTCCCCTACCTCCCAGGAGCCCATGCTCCGGCTGGACCCACGCAGGCTTGAGGATGGCAAGGGGAAGAGTCCTTATGACCCCAGGCATCGGGCTGCCTCCGTGCTGGTGGGTGAGTCCAAAGGATGAGCAACCCCCAGAACTCCTAGAACCATCTAGAAACTCTAGAACCTCTTAAGTCCCAAGACCCACCCCCTGAAGGACCCCCCCCCAACAGCCTCATCAACTCCTGGAGCACCCCCAGAGGTCCTCATTCCCTCCTAACCCAAGAGCACTCAGCTTGACTAAGCAGACATTGCCATATCTGCAGGGGAAGAGCTGTATTCAGGGGTGGCAGCAGACCTCATGGGCCGGGACTTTACCATCTTTCGCAGCCTGGGCCAGCGTCCGAGTCTCCGAACGGAGCCGCATGATTCCCGCTGGCTCAATGGTGAGAGGCTGGTGGGCCAGTCGGAGGGGGCTGCTATCCTCTGACAGGTGCCAAGTAGTGATAAAGTAAGGGCTCATCAAGTACCTGCCATAGTTAGACCTCAAGTCAGGCACTGGGGGTCTCAGGGAAAGACAAGGCAGCTATGACCTTGTACCCTCTTTGAGTTTGCAGATCTCGGAATATATGATCAGAAACAGATTCACGGAGTTAGCAATGATAATGAACCTAGAATGTTAGGAGCTAGAGTAGTTTATTCTAAGAGCATGGAACACAGCAGGAAGATCTGAAGCAGGAGTGGAGAACCTCTGGTCTGCTAGGGAGGAAGATCTATGAAAGAAGGTGAAACCAGGTATCTCATCTCCCTCCTTTCCAGGCCAGTAGGCCTGGGGAATGGAAAGTGACAAGGTCAGAAACCCTGGGGGAGTTCCCCCTCTATATTCTCAGTTAGCCATGGTCTCTGCTGCCCTCTCGTGGCTGCTTGTTGCATCGCAGCCCTGATCCTTGGGACTTCAGGATCATCCTGATCCTGAAGGCTGGGTAGTCAGATGCTGCTCTAGTGCAGCTTCCATGTTAGGGGCAGGGGAGCTTGCATGTGGGTTCCATGTAGGTGACAGGACCAGGACCCATTAACTTCATGTTTCTTGTTGCTTCTAGAACCCAAGTTTGTCAAGGTCTTTTGGATCCCAGAGAGTGAGAACCCAGACGATGACAAAATCTACTTCTTCTTCCGTGAGTTGGCTGTGGAAGCTGCACCAGCAATGGGACGCTTGACTGTGTCTCGAGTTGGCCAAATTTGCCGGGTAAGGAGTCCCTAGGCCACTCCTCAGCAAACTTGCCTTGCCCCTTTGCCCACTGGGATCCTGCTCTCATCCCTTGGTATGGGATCTTCCTGGTAGAACGATGTGGGCGGCCAACGAAGCTTGGTCAACAAGTGGACGACATTCCTGAAGGCCCGACTAGTGTGCTCAGTACCAGGAGTGGAGGGTGACACCCACTTCGACCAGCTTCGTGAGTGTCTTCTGTGGGATGGAATGGGATGGGGAAAGGGGTTAAGGGTGCAAACTCCTTCAACTAGGCCTCTTCCCTGCAGAGGATGTGTTCCTGCTGTCCCCACGGGACCGGCGGTCCCCACTGCTGTATGCTGTCTTCTCCACTTCTAGGTGAGGAGCAGGAGGTGGGGAGCCCCCAGGGCAGAGCCAGCTGGGTTGGCTGGGCTCTCTCATTCCGCTCTTGTCATTGCCTGCAGTGGCATTTTCCAGGGCTCTGCTGTGTGCGTGTACAGCATGAACGACGTGCGCCGGGCCTTCCTGGGACCCTTTGCACACAAGGAGGGGCCCACACATCAGTGGGTGTCCTACCAGGGTCGTGTCCCCTACCCCCGACCAGGCATGGTGCGTCACTAGGGGACTCCTGCTACAACCCACTTCAAAGCCATGAGGGTGGAGAACTTGGCCTGGGGTGTTCTTGGTGAACATGGTTTCTTCTTTTTATTATGGGTGGGAAAAGTTCACTATCATCAGACAGAGATCTTCAGGGTAAGACCCCATGTCCCCCTTAGGCTCAGTTTGAGCCCCAGGGCAAGGCTCAAATCCTCAGGACTCTGTTCTGTCCCCTCTGCCTTTCATATTCCCAAAGGCCTGGAGTGGAGGGCTGGCCACCAACCCCCTATGCCTATATTCGTGCTGTGCCTTCCTTCCTGCCCTCCCTAGTGCCCCAGCAAGACCTTTGGTACCTTCAGTTCCACCAAGGACTTCCCTGATGACGTCATCCAGTTTGCCCGGAACCACCCTCTGATGTACAACTCAGTCCTGCCCATAGGGGGACGCCCTCTCTTCTTACAAGTGGGTGCTGGGTACACATTCACCCAAATCGCTGCAGACCGTGTAGCAGCTGCTGACGGACACTATGACGTCCTCTTCATTGGCACAGGTCAGGGTCCTATCACGATGACCCACAGGCCCCCTTCAGGCTCCTTGGTCTTGTAGTAGAAACTCTCCCTGTTCAGTCCCATCTCTGCATCTTTGTCTGGGCTGTGGCCTTGCTTTCTGAACATTGCCCTGCTTGTTCCAATCCACAGCCTACCTTTTCATGCCACAACCATATTGAGAGTGGAGGCCTCTAAGGCAGGAGATCCCCAGACATGGCTCTTGGTAAAACTAATGACCACTGTCCCTTTTCATCCCTGCAGATGTAGGCACAGTGCTGAAGGTGATCTCAGTCCCCAAGGGCAGCTGGCCAAGCTCTGAGGGGCTGCTCTTGGAGGAGCTGCACGTGTTTGAGGTGAGGCATCACGTCCCCCACCCCCAGTCACCTAGGGTATCCCTCCCAATCCACTAAGCCCTGATCCCCTGTCCCTCCTCCCTCCTAGGACTCAGCTGCAGTCACCAGCATGCAAATCTCCTCCAAAAGGGTGAGTGAGCAGAAGGGTGGGGTGGATTAAACTTGTGCCCTGGGCACCCCATCTTGCTCCCCCTTGGTAGTTGTAGTCTTGGGTTTGAGTATAGGCTTTGCCTTTGCTAGATAGTGTAACCTGAGTGAGACCTCAGTGTTCTCATTTGTCAAGTGGGGGAAGGGATACCTGACCGATGGGAGGCAGGTGGAGGCCGCCCTTGGTCAGCCTGGAGCCCTTCGTCCTTCTAGCATCAGCTGTATGTAGCCTCACGGAGTGCAGTGGCCCAGATCTCCTTGCACCGCTGTTCGGCCCATGGACGAGCCTGCGCTGAATGCTGTCTTTCCCGTGACCCCTACTGTGCCTGGGACGGGGTCGCATGCACACGCTTCCAGCCTACTGCCAAGAGGTGGGTGGGTGGAATTGGGATCCTGGTCCAAACTGTGCTTGCCAAGAGCGGGAGATAGGGTCTTTCGCTGCCCCACTAGCAGCAGAAGAGCTCACGGAATTCCAATGTTCCCCTCAGGCGGTTCCGGAGGCAGGACATAAGGAATGGCGACCCTAGAACGCTGTGCTCTGGGGGTGAGTGCATCATCTGCCCCCACCCTCAGCCCCTGAAGATGCCCCACTCGTCCTGCCCTGCGTGAATTTGACATTCTCCTTGTACCAAGACTCATCCAGTCCCACGCTGCTGGAGAGGAAGGTCTTCGGTGTGGAGGGTGGCAGTGCCTTTCTGGAGTGTGAGCCCCGCTCACTGCAGGCGCACGTGGAATGGACCTTCCAGCGCGCAGGGGATGTGGCGCATACCCAAGTGAGCCTCAGTCCGTCCTGTCCCGTCCCCTGCATGTAGGAGAAGTCCTGCCCTGCCTAACTGAGGTCCTTGGTCTGTACCCACATCTAGGTGAAGTCCTAGATGAGTTACCTGTCCCATCCTGTTTGGTTTCTTACCTGCACTCCACATCCTGGCTCACTATTGTGTCCAGCCCACCCCGATATTCATTAGGGGGAGAGTCCCGCCCTCGATCCACCTATTCAGGTCTCTGACCCCCCCCCACCCCTTTCAGGTGAGCTCTCCCCTGTTTGAATCTTCATCTGAAGGCCACCAGCTCCCATGCCCTCAACTTCCAAGTGTGCACCTGCGAACACGCCTTTCCCACTTCTCAGAGGCTCCCAATGATCGTTTGCCCCAGTTTTAGGCTGCCTCTTACCCCTCAGGTGCTGGCACAAGAGCGAGCCGAGCTCACTGCGCGAGGGCTGCTGTTGCGCAGGCTGCGACGCCAGGACTCAGGCGTGTACCTGTGTGCCGCCGTTGAGCAAGGTTTTTCGCAGCCGCTGCGTCGCCTGGCACTGCAAGTGCTGAGTGCTGTGCAGGCGGAACGACTGGCAAGGGCAGAGGAGGCCGCACCCCCTGGGCCTCCCAGCCCTAAACTCTGGTACCGGGACTTTCTGCAGTTGGTGGAGCCAGGCGGCGGTGGCGGTGTGAACTCTCTGCGCATGTGCCGGCCACAGTCCCCTCCCAGCCCTGCTGCCTCAGAGTCACGCAGGAAAGGCCGCAGCAGGCGGATGCACTCTGAGCCGCGAGCTGAGCGGGGCCCGCGCAGCGCTGTGCATTGGTGACTGGGCTGTCCACACCCCGGGGACCAGATAGGAGATGACACATGGAAGAGGAGGCAGCCAGATCCCAGGAAGACAGATGGGTTTTGGTCGGGCACCTTGGGGTCCCTAGGTGGGTGAAGACACCAACCACAGGCCCTGGCGGAAGGGCAACCGCACCGGCTTATTTATTAACAGGATAACCCTTGAATGTAACCCTGAAAGGGCAGCCCAGGCCCAGGTCGGGTGTAGGATCTAGCCTAGACGGCTGGGACAGAGAAATGGGGCTGCACAGCGACCCCCTGGGCCAGGGAGCTGTTCTGGAGCCCACTCTGGGAGAAGGATTCTCCTCCTTAAGCAGTGAGCGGAAAGCTGTGAACAGACTGGCTAGTGTGAGGCAGGCCGACTGTACTAAAGTAATGCAATAAACACATTATCAGCAAAGCTGAAATGGCCCCAGCAGACAACTGCTAGTTCTAGACCTTGCTGTGTGATCTTGGGCATCTTCCTAGCAGTCTCAGTGACTGAGTTTCTCCAGTCCAAGATTGTCATGGTGAGGTTTAAAGTGATGTCTAGGTGACTGAGCTTCTGTAGGGCTTTGGGATATACTGACATGCACAGTACATTCTGCATTATATAGCTTAAGGGCTAAGTGCGCTGAAGAAAACAAAACTGGGAGATGTGGAAAAGAGTGTGCAGAAGGCCTCACAAAGGGTGACATCTGAGCTGAAGGACAAGAAGGAGCCAGTGCCAGGAATATTTGGTGGCAGAGCATTCCAAGGGGGAAAAGCCAGTGCAAAGGCTTGGAGGAGGAAACAAGCTTGCCAAGTTTGAGGACAGCAAAGAAGGCCAATATAATACAGTGGAATGATGGATTTGGGATGTTTAGGGAAGTAGGACCACAGTCTTGCTTTGTCCAGTTGGGAAGAAGGAGCACAAGAGTTCTTCTAAAGTGAGTGGTACTATGTTTCTTCATCCCCTCCCATGTGACCCGTTATGCCCTTGTGGAGAAGAGAGGGAGGGAGTGAAGGAGGACCAAAACTGCCTTGTGCTAAGTACTT